GTACATCATCAAACATATGGTTTCGACTTCCATTTGCCAGAGGTGATGCATGGCAACACTTATGCTTGCGACTTGGCAGACCTGGAAGCATTTATTGGGATGTCAAAATAAATGACCAGCATTTCAGGGATTTGTGGGAGCTTCAGAAAGGAAGCAATAGTACACCTTGGGGTTCTGGTGTTCGAATTGCCAATACATCTGACATTGACTCTCATATTCGCTATGATCCAGAGGGTGTTGTTCTTAGTTATCAGTCTGTGGAGGCTGATAGTATTAAGAAGTTAGTGGCAGACATCCAAAGACTTTCTAATGCAAGAATGTTTGCCCTTGGGATGCGGAGATTGCTTGGTGTAAGAGCAGATGAGAAGCCAGAAGAAAGTAGTACAAACCCTGATTTTAAAGCACCAGGAGTCAAAGTTTCTCCTGAGGCAACTGATAGACTATCTGAGCAAATGCGAAGGGCATTTAGAATTGAGGCTGTTGGACTTATGAGTCTGTGGTTCAGTTTTGGATCAGGTGTCCTTGCTCGCTTTGTTGTAGAGTGGGAATCAAGTAAAGAGGGTTGTACTATGCATGTAACCCCCGACCAACTTTGGCCCCATACCAAGGTACATTCATCTACTTTATTTTTTCTGGTTTGTTTGTTGTAGCATTTTCAATTGATGGCATTCTTATTTGGTTTGAAGTGATGTTTTATGAATCTTAATTGTTTACCTTATGTGAAACTGAGTCCTGCATGCATCCTTGGATTTTGTTTTCTTCAGTGGTTGTGCCTGAACATGCCATCTTTATGGAATTTAATAGAAATCTTCGGAAAAATTCAAAATATAATTTCAACTATTTTCTGGTGGTGTCATGGAAAAATCTTTTGATATTGGATTAGGATTTTGTTAAGTGCCTTAATGACATAAAAAAGGTACATTAAAACTGCATGCACAATTCTATCAAAGTTGCTTTACGAAGGATTACATCAAAATGTAATCATTGAAAAATAGTTTTTGACATGCATTCGAAGCAATTTAGATATATGTATTACAGAGATAACTTTATATTTCTCCCCAATTTTTTTCTGATTAAAAATATTTGCATTAATAACAATACCTTGTCTGTTCTTTACAGTTCCTGGAAGATTTCATAAATGGAGCTGAAGTTGCTTCACTTTTGGATTGCATTCGACTCACTGCAGGGCCCTTGCATGCTCTTGCAGCTGCAACACGACCTGCACGAGCTAGTCCTATCCCGGGGGTCCCTGGAGGAGCAGTCCTCTCTTCTATCCCAAAGCAGGCTGGGTACTTACCATCTCAGGGCCTTGTGCCTACTAGTTCAACCACAAATGCCGGTCAGTCTCCTGGCCCTATGGGAAACCCAGTTTCATCTCCTTCTACAGGGCCTCTTGCAAATCATAGCCTGCATGGGGCTGCTGGGTTAGCTGGTGCTGGCCGAGGTGGACCTGGCATTGTACCCAGCTCACTGTTGCCCATTGATGTCTCTGTTGTGCTACGTGGACCCTATTGGATACGGATCATATACCGAAAGCACTTCGCAGTTGACATGCGCTGTTTTGCAGGAGATCAGGTTTGGTTGCAACCAGCAACCCCACCCAAGGGGGGCCCTTCCGTTGGTGGGTCACTACCTTGCCCTCAGTTTAGACCATTTATTATGGAGCATGTAGCCCAAGAATTGAATGGTTTAGATACTAATTTCACCGGTGGTCACCAGACAGGACTGTCAAGTTCAATCAATCAAACCCCCAGTTCAGGCTCCCAACTGTCTACTGTAAATGGAAATAGGGTTAACCTCCCTGGTTCTGCTGCTATGTCCAGGACAGGCAACAACCAAGTAGCTGGTTTAAACCGTGTCGGAAATGCTTCTCCAGTATCCTCAAATTTGGCTGTTGTGAGCTCAGCAGGGCCGGCTTTACGTAGATCCCCAGGTCCTGGTGTCCCTGCTCATGTGAGAGGAGAACTGAATACAGCCATTATTGGTCTTGGAGATGACGGAGGGTATGGAGGTGGTTGGGTTCCTCTTGTTGCTCTTAAAAAGGTGCTAAGAGGTATTCTCAAGTACCTTGGAGTTCTATGGCTATTTGCCCAGCTACCAGGGCTCTTGAAAGAGATTTTGGGGTCAATTCTGAAAGACAATGAAGGCACACTTCTAAATTTAGACCAGGAGCAGCCTGCATTGAGATTCTTTGTTGGGTAAGTGCTTTCAGGCGAATCTTTACACATCTCAGAAACTTTATTTTTGAATTCTTATTCTTAATCTTTTGATGGTGTGATTCCATCTTTTTTATCGTTGTTGAGGAGTTACGCTAAAACAAAGGGAAGTGCCCTAAGAAAACATCCTGACAAGGTGGACACACTGATACACGTTTGTGGTATTTATGTTTATTAAAACTTCCCTATTTTATGTTCAATACTTGTACCAGATCACTTTCAGTTAGTTATGTTACATGATAATATTCACCCTTAACATTAGTGGTCCTCGGGTGATGTTTATCCTTACAAGGTTTTGCTAAATACTTCCAGGCTTATCTACTTGTTCTTTGATCTGATTGCTTGTGTTTCTGCAGTGGCTATGTATTTGCAGTAAGTGTTCACAGAGTTCAACTTCTTCTTCAAGTACTGAGCGTGAAACGATTCCATCAGCAGCAGCAAGGGCAACAGCCAAATATAAACACTGCCAATGAGGAATTATCTACAGCCGAAATAGGAGAAATATGTGACTACTTCAGTCGGCGTGTTGCTTCAGAGCCTTATGATGCATCTCGTGTCGCATCATTCATTACTCTCCTTACCTTACCCATATCAGTTCTAAGAGAATTCTTGAAATTAATAGCATGGAAAAAAGGACTAGCCCAGGCACAAGGGGGAGATGTAGCACCTGCTCAAAAACCCCGTATTGAATTATGCCTTGAAAACCACTCTGGCTCGAGGATGGATGGGAGCTCAGATAACTCATCTGTTGCCAAAAGTAATATTTATTATAATCGGCCTCATAACTCGGTTGATTTTGCACTGACACTTGTTCTTGATCCTGCTCACATACCTCATATAAACGCCGCTGGTGGAGCTGCATGGTTGCCATACTGTGTCTCAGTGAGGTTGAGGTATTCATTTGGCGAAAATCCTAACATGTCCTTTCTTGGTATGGAAGGAAGCCATGGAGGTCGAGCTTGCTGGTTGAGCGTTGATGACTGGGAGAAGTGTAAAAACAAGGTTGCTCGAACTGTGGAACATCAGGGTAGTTCGGGAGTAGACAGTAGTCAAGGAAGGTTAAGAATCGTAGCTGACTACGTGCAAAGGACACTGCATTATGTGCTTCAAGGGTTGAGGGATGGTAGTGGGGTTAGTGCAACCTCCGGGGCAACTTGATAGGTTGTGTCACTCAGATAGATACTTTTGAACTACTTCATTCGGGATTCAATCTCGATGATTTTAGCGCAGATTGACCGTGGCTAGTGTTCCATTTTTCAGTTCTCAGTTTGTTGCAGGAGGAGAAACTTGTAGTGATAGGGTGGGAGAGCAAATCTGGAGGTAGGGGAATTGCCGGGAGACGGTGGCCTTTTAGAATGTAGTTGCAGAGGTTAGCAAGGAGATTGACAGGGCGGTGATGGCGGAGATGGCCTAATATCTTTCTTTCTTGCTGGTTTGGTTCTTTTGATGATAGGGTGTACAATATTTTGGACATTTTCTGATAATTGTTGTACAAATCAGGCTTTAATTGGTTATACTTTGTAAACATTTTGTTTCCTGCAGTGGGTCATTTCTCAAGTAACTGTTAACAGATGTGAAAATTTTACAACTTTTCCAGTTTTACCGCCTGGTAGTTTACTCAAACAAGTGAATTTCATTCGCCTAGCCCCATCTGAGCGCTAGGCAGCTAGTCATCATCATGATAAATCTCTAAGCATTTGAAAATACAAAAACAAAAAAAAGCTCCTGAACTTACCTAGGCAGCCGTCTAAACTCGTCTAGGTCGCTACTCTTACTTAGAATGAAAATAGATATCTTTCAAGTCGAACATTATGTCATTGCTATTTGATTTTGATCAATTTAGCAACCAGGATTTGATTTCCGAATAATTTAGGCAATTTTTTAAGACTAGACAAAGGGGTCAAATTACAATCGTACGAATTTATACAGTGATTGATCTGGAGTCACAGAAATTGGATTGGAAATCAACAACCAGCTTCATTTCACTTTCTAGGCACTGCAAAACAAGGAATTCTTTTCCAACGTAACTTGATCATTTATTTAAATCTCACTTGCTAGTATTAACTCTTCAACTTATCTTCCCAATAAATTAAGTCAAAAGGACACGCGTCACTCAAGTAGATAAGTCACAAAAAGACCACTGAATTTTAGGTGCAAAGAATTTAAACACCATTGACACTTAGTAGTACTTTTGTTTTCGCTTTTGATTATTATTATTATTATTTTAGAAGATGTCATTTTCCATCTCTCTACCCCCAATAACCTTCCCTTCAATAATGATTCATCAAATTTGAAAAAAGTACTCGCCTCACTTTTAAAGAAACAACAAACTCAGATCCATATTTTTCTGCAAAACCAGAAGCTTCCAACATATCTTTACAAGACAAGCAACCATCATCCAACTTTCAACTTGCATAAAAAACAATATATATTTCTGAAAATACAATAATGCAAAACCCTACATCCCTTTTGGTTGGCCCCATCTCCCATTATCCATACAAGAAAAATTGAAGAGTTCCCACCACCAAATATTAAGGTCACACTCATTCAACTAACCCCACCATTGATATTACAAGAGGAAACACATCAATTTTGCTTTTGAAAAATTCTCCCATAGGGTTTCCAATGGCATGACAATCAGTCCCTTGTTTGACAAAACTCAAAAAATTAGAGTGATCTTGACCTGTAAGTATATCCGTTGTCATGAGTGACAAGGATACTAGGCGGAACGTGGGGTCCATAAGCGTGCCGGGAGGCGTGGATGGGGGCATGTAGTAGTGGATGCTTTGTTGGATAGGCTTATGAGGAGGAGTTTGATTCCGGCTTCACCATTGTCGTTGCGTCAGGTTGATGGGTCCGGAAGATTGCTGGGGCGAGGGATATGGGCATGATGCAGAGTGCCTTGGACTGGAGGAACTGCATGGCAGCTCCTACATCTTCTTCCATCAGCTTAGCAACTTGCTGTTCTGTGCCATCGTTCGACCACTTCTCCCATGCTTGTTGATTGGTTCCTCCTTCCATGCCCTCCCCCTTCATTGGAATAAAAGCAAAAACCGAAAAATAGTCAAAATACAGTAGACAGAAAAGGCGAATTAGTACATAGACTACTCTCATTTATCAATACATTGTAAACTGTTCATCAAGCCTAGTTATGTATTAGAGAAACTTTTGTAATTATAACATATGTGCATTTGACGCGGTGAACTGTATGAATCTAATAGCGAATTCTAATACACATGCTGCCTTCATAATGTGCAGAGAAAAAACCTCAACTGCTGATAGGGGTACGTCAGCAACAAGCTGAGCCACTGCACCTGCTCCCCCGAGTCGACTCATGCTCAAAACCTGTTTCCATATAAACAAAATCAGATCGATAAGCATCAAGAAAATAAATTGATTAACTCCAAAATTTTGAACAACGTTGTATAACTTGTGTCCTTTTCTATTTGATTATGACTTCATTGAAATATAGAGGTTCCAACCAGACAGTCATTTCAAGTTTGAAAAAATAATTAGTTCATACAAAGCAAGTATCGATGCCTTTAATGATGCCTCAGATATGCGACATGACCAGGACCTACCTTATGGTGAAAACATTTTGACGAGTTTAGCATTTGGTACAAGTTTCTGAAGTAAAAATGAATTCAAAAAACGCGTTTAATTTCGAAGCAGAAAACGTTTTTTTTGTTAGAAGGACGAGGAAATATGATTATTTATTCTTTTGAGATGATGAATATATTTGAATTTTGATTCATATACCTTGACTTGGAGCCTTAGAAATTTTACATAATCCACAATTTCGTCAAGCATAGCTGCCCTATCTGTCTGCACAAGGATATCATAACGTGTCAATACGTTTAGAATTTAATATTAAAAGCTACGCATATTCAAACATTGTTAATAATTTGACACGAGGAAACAAGAAAAAAAGCTCAATTCATCCAGCAAAAGGTTCACAAACTCGCTTTAAGACACTAACCTTGTTACAACTGGGTACCAATTCCTGCAAAGCCTTCATTCTTTCTGCAATTCTTTCCCGACGTAACTGCACCAAGAAGATAAATACGCAAACTTATATTATTACCTACAGCACTGGATAAGCAGGCATAGGATTGGATGCCAGGATGAATTCTTAAGTATTTTCAGAAACGGAATCTTTGTTACTACAAAACTAGTATAGCCCTCAATGCTAATGAATAACAGATGACTTTATCAGTCGCGACAAAATTGCGTAGGTTAAATATATGCAGAAGCGATTTGGACGTCTTCAATGAGAATGAACTTGCTGCAAACTCTCCCACGAAGAAGTATCTAGGTTCTCTTAGATATGAAAATTTTTGCTTACCCGTTCAGCAATACTGTGGGGATCTGTTGCTTGGCCTCGCCTTGCTCGAACCCTTGGGCGGATGGCAGGAGAGTGATGGACCGCATTAGCCGGCCCTGGTGGTGGTTGGCTATGAAACTGCAGCACCAAGATTAACAAAATTAAGTCAATCCACAAATTATCTACATGCGTTGGGTTTGAACTAATGCATACTTCACCATCCGATGTGAGTACAGATACGTCAAAATTTAGCTGGACAATTGAAAGCTTTTGTATGATGTGCTCTTAATCAGCATAAGATAATATGTTTCAGATCGATCTCAATACAAGATTTCAACTTGGATTTCCATCAGATTAATCCTGACAGTCCGTAGTGGAACACTAACTTAGAACACCATCTTACAAGTCATTTCACATCCTTATTTAACTTTCCTATCATATGTTTTACAAGGAAGAGATAAACGAAATTACACAACGAAACTAAGTTTTGACATCTCGTTGGGTAAATTCTTGGCAACAGCTTGTGCGCGAGGATGACTGAATATTTAGTTGGACAAGTCAAGATGTTCTTAAGTTGTTTGTGCGTCTTTTGTCCGCTTTAGTTTTGCCATTTAAAAGAAGTTTTACTCTATTGAAATTCATGTCTTGAACACGTATTTAATGTATTGTTTGCAGTTTTTGAACGAATATCAATCGTTGATTTGGTAATAACAAACACTTCATGCCTAGAACTAAAATAACCTATCAAACTCATTGAAAAAAATTAAATAAATTCAGGATCCCCAAATTATGCACAAAAAATCTGCATAAGTCTGAATCAACCCTAGTCATCACCAGAAGTCAAAGTATTGAAAAAGTCAAAGTAGGAGGAGTCAACTCCATGTGAAGAACAGGAGCGCATGTTCCCACACTCCAAGAGGCGCGTGGCCATCATTTATCCTAGTATGACAAAGATTGCAATTAGAGAAACTCGAAAGGACCAAAATGTCCCTCGGACGGCAGAACTCTTCTACACGTTCGAACAACCCACGCGTTTATGGCCCCTTCTGTCTGTCGGACACGTCTTACTAAACAATTCTCTCCACTCTCTCTCAAGCGCGTGCACGACACTTCTTTACCTACTACTAATGTGCTTGAAACAAAGCCCTTGATTACTACAATATTATCAACTGTACCCCTCACCCTCTAAGACCATCTACAACCCTTGTACTAAAAGTTAAAATTTTTAGCCTTGAAAATTTAGTTTTTAGCTCATAAATAGTTTTTCTACTCAAACCTTTTTGGTTTAAAATTTTTAACCCGAGATTATTAAAGAATAAATTTAGGCTAATTTTTTTAAAGTAATTTAATTACGTACACTATCATAATTTAATTTTATGAAAATTTTAACCTAAAAATATTTAAATTTTGATAAATATTGAAAATTCACTAAATTTGAATGAATTTTGAGTTAAATAATTTTTTTTAATTATTTTAGCCGTTGGATTTAAATTTGGTCGTTAGAACTTTTTTTTTTACCATTAGATTTGATTATATTCGATCTCAACCATTAGATTCAATAAATCCTGGAAGACATGCCTATGTGGATGGGCGCCTACTGGTGGTGCCCACATCATTTTCTGGGCTAAATCATGGGAGAATTTGCTTTTGTTTGGCTTTTAGCTTTTAACCCACACATTTAGCATGGGTTGAATTGGGTTTGGGGGGAGGGGGGAAACCCTAAAAAATAGCATTTTGCCTAGGTTGGGTTTGGTCACATGACATTGAATTATTAAATTAGAATGTCATATAACTGATGAATTCATTTTATGTAAGTTTCTCTCTCTCTCTCTTAACACTTCAAGTTCAATAATGGCAACAATCTTACTATTTGGCCTTTGGAGAACATAACATACATGATGGCATGATGCAGGACTTTACTTGCTAACGGCAGGTCAGCGTTGCATTTCAAACGACTAACGCGATGCTATGTGTTTTTTCTTTTGCACATGACATTGCATTATCTATTTGAGATTGTCGCGGTGACACACCGTATATTGGGAAGTGTCTCGTAAATGAAAGAGTGCATCTTTCAAATATCGAGGGCACTATAGTCATTATGAAATGTTGGAGTTGGACGTACCTGGTGAGGAGGTTGCGGAGGGCGTGGCGTTGGCCGGAGTGATGAGTGATTTTGCAAATGTCCAAATGCTGGAAACAAACTTGACATATGAACCGAATCTCTTTCCTGCCACCAGACAATTACTAAACCGTCAAGATTTGCATATGTAAATTAGGTCAGTTAACTACGTCAATATGTCCGTCTCGTGACAATTGATAACAAGATTCGTTCACCAAACTAACCTTACAATACTTTACATTTACAAGCACACCCTAACCCAGCTAGCATCTACGTTCTCAACTCTCAAAACCAACAAAAGGAAAAGAAATTCTGGATTCCAAAATTCTTCCAAAAAAAGAAATATAAAAAAAATAACAGAATAAAAAGAAAGAAAAATTTGTGCGTTTCAAATTCCAAAGAAAAAGCTGACTGAAACTGAAAGGGATCTTCTTTTCTTTCTATTTCAACACTTTTCTTGCAGCAAAGCAAAGGAATTTTCCATGGAAAACTCCATTCATTTTCCCGGAAAATGGCAAGCAAATCCGAAAAAAAACATGTACACAATAAAAAATTGACAACTTGACATATTTTTGGGCAAGAAAATACAATATTCGATGACTGCTCTAATTTACGAAAGTAGAAAATTCGAACTCAGGTGCAACTGCTCTGACCTACTGGCCTAATACAATATCCTCAGACTACTCGAAAGAGGGATTCAAACTCGAAACCATTATTCTGACCAACTGAACTACCTTACGAGAACTTTGATATCATAATCTTAAAACAAAATTAAGGTTAAAGTGGAGTGAGAGAGACTTACGTTAATTGAAGCAGAGACATTGGAAGTGTTTGTGTTGTTAGTATTATTGGCTTCAACAACTTCATCTCTGAACCTGTTGTCTTGCCCAAGAAACCCACGCTGCTCCAAGTTCAAACCCAACGGCATACCCAGCCCCATCCCAACTCCTCCTCCTCCTCTGTACCCAGCACCACCACCCGAGGACCCAGCAGAACCCAGCTGCAGCGCCATGGGCATGGACCCCACTTCTCCTCCGTAGCCACCACCAGCTGACTCACCACCACCACCACCAGCACTATACGACGGCGGCACAGCTAGGATCTGCTCAAAGAAATCGTCTCCAAGTCCTTCTGGCGGATTTCCCGCCATATTACTTTCACTTGTACTGACCAAACTCCACCGGTTACTAATTTGTAACTGCAACTGCTCAGAAGGGTTTTGCAATTTACAGTAAGAAAACGAAGGGTTTGGTGGGTAAACAAGTAAAGATGGGTTCTTGATGCTCTTTTTAGAGAGCGAGTCACGGAGAGAGAGAGAGAGAGAGAGAAACAGAGTGTGTCTGTGTATTGGGAAGTGGGAGGGAATTTGAGAAGTGGGGTTTTGTGTTGGTGAAATGGGTGTCAGACCCGATAACCCGGAAATGGTATTCGGGGATTTCGAGCTGGTTTTTCCAGAATCCCAGTGTGATGGGTTTTTGTTGGAGTTTTCTGGTTAGTTTTTAGAGAGAGAGACAGAGAGACAGAGAGAGAGCTGCTCTTCTGAAAACCTTCTGTCTTCGGCTTTCTGAATTGCTTTGCTTTTGGGCTCTGAACACTCCGACTTGGGTTTGTGTGTGCGTGTGATTTATGGTTTCCAACTTCTAGAGAGAGAGAGAAAAGGAGGAGAGAGAGAGAGAAGCAAAATTTGCAGTCTTCGTGGGACTACAGTTTCTATAGTCCCACGCGCTTACAAGACAGGATGTTTTTCTTCAAGAAAATAAGAAACAAAGCAATTTTTTCCTTGTCATTTTTGACAATTGAAAGAATATAAACAAAAATTTGAACTTAAACGCCAAGTAATAGGATGGTTAAAAGTTAAAACAAATCTTTTCTTTAAAGCCAAAATTCTAAAGACTTTTAAGGCGATTTGGTCTGAATATATTTTTACTTCTCATCTCAAGAACTTCGTTGCCATCCGCATATATGCTTATGGTCATTATTGTTCGACAAGGATTTTATGTGCGGTTTGACCATTGGAGATTGAATCTATCCAAGATTCGCTCATTGCTTTACAAAAATTTCTAAAGATTTTTAAGGCGACTTGGTCCGAGTCCATTTTTACTTCTAAGACCAAACTCAACCCTTGGCTAAATGCTATTTTTTAGGTTTTATTCCCTCCAAACCCAATCCAACTCATGCTAAATGTGCGGACTAAATGCTAAAAGCCAAACAAGAGCCAAATTCCCTCCAGGATTTAGCTCAGAAAATGGTGTGGGCACCACCAGCGGGACCCCACCCGCATGGGCATGTCTCCTAGGATTTATTGAATTTAACTACTGAGATCGAATATAATCAAATATAATGGTAAAAAAATAAAATAAAATCTAACGGCCCAAATTTAAATTCAACGGCTAAAATAATTAAAAAAACTATTTAACTCAAAATTCATCCAAATTTAGTGATTTTTCAATATTTATCGAAATTTAAATATTTTTAGGTTAAAATGTTCATAAAATTAAATTATGGTAGTGTACATAATTTTTTTTTTTAAATTACTTTAAAAGAAAAAATTAACCTAAATTTATTCTTTAATAGTTTCGGACTAAAAGAGTTAGAGCAGAAAAGTTGTTTATGAGCTAAAATCTAAGTTTTCTAGGCTAAAAATTTTAGGTTTTAATCCAATAGTTGAAGATGGTCTGATTTGAAGAACTTCATTGCGGTTCGCATATATGCTTTTGGTCGTCATTATTCGACAAAGATTTTTAATCGCTATTATGTGCAGTTGGATCACTGAAAACTGAAACTATCCAATATCCACTCATTGCTTTACAAACTTTTGAAAATGTTGTGTGTTATGTAACGGTGTAGTTACTATTCGTGGGGGTACTCGCAATTTAAGCGTATAAATTTGGTTAGAGTTTTGGCTATTTTGAATTACGTGAGCTTAGGTACAAATCACGCTAGATTTGAGAGCATACTCTCTCATACATGATTTAGCCACTTTACTCTCATACCTCGCCGAAATGAGAAATATTAACTCGTTTAGAAATACTTTTAAAATAACTAAAAACATTTTTAGAGAATATTTTTAGATTTCAAAAACATTTGAAGTGTTTCCTACTAGAAACACCAATTATGTGTTTCTTGCAGAAAGCACTTCAAATGTTTTTCCTGAATTCACTTTCAAAACACTTTCAAACAAGCCATTAATTAGATAGATTCAGTTATTTTAAAAACATTTTGAAAAATAATCATCTCATAGATGATCCTAGCCGTCCAATGCATAAAAAACTTACAAAAAGCAAGTCCAACTTTTTAAAACGAGACAAGAGTGTTTCCATCAAATTTTACAACCTGAAAATATGGTATTATGTTTACTTCACGTAATTAAGTTTCTATGATTGGTTCATACATCTAGCGTTTGGTCCTCTTTCTTTTGCTTTCTTAAGTAATTAGGATAATCTTTTCTTAATTTCGTCCTTAGTTATAAGCCCTTCTCTAATCAAAGATAGCAACTCACTCCTTGCACGTTTTATGCGGATAATGCGACCTTTTTCATCATTTATTTCTAACGAACTGTTATTGACACCTTAAAATATAATCATTTGGAACTTTTTATTTGTTTAATATTTCTAAAAAAATATTATTAGCATTCAAAAAATATAATGTGCTCTGGCAAAATGGGTCGTGATTGTTGTGTTAATGTCGTTTCCGTGTCGTATCCATTATTTTAACGGATCGTGTCATGTCAAACCCGTTATCTTAACGTGTACGTTAAAATGTCATTTTTGTGTCAAGTTAATGGGTCATGCAAGGAATTGCCATTTCTAATTTCTAGACGTTACAAATGGGTCGTGCTCGTGTTGTTTACATGCATACACATTATCTTAACGGGTTCTTAATGACAAACCTGATAAAGACCCCATTTATTAACGTTTTCTTAGCACATTTCGTATCGAGTCAATGGGTCATGCAAGGAATTACCATTTCTAATTTCTAGACCTTACAAATGGGTCGTGCTCGTGCCGTTTACATGCATACACGTTATCTTAACGGGTTCTTAATGACAAACCTGATAATGACCTCATTCATTAACGTTTTCTTAACAATTGACACGATAATAACATGCCTTGTAAACTTTTTAACCCAAAACTTGTTATTTTCGTGTAATTTTGACACATATTAGATTTTTGAAATATTAATACCAATTCCCATTTTTAATAGTGAAAATATGTCATAAACTTGGGTTCGATATTAGCAGCCCAAACAAAAAATTGCCTAGGGTTGACAGGGGTCTCGGTCGGGCGGCCTAGCTGATTCGTGACAAACATTGTCCATTTGCATCTTAAACAATTAGAAGACATAAAGGTTGCTATCTTTCTAGTTTTTAATTCTTTTCCCTTTCAAGAGACGGTGCCCTTTGTCTAGTGGAGTTACTTTTTATATAATACAAGGTGTATTATACGCCTATATGAAACACCACAATACGCCTATGGTATACAACTCTAAAACTTAAAATACCCTAATCCTACTAAGATAAAGCGTTTTCAGAGGGAAATCTTAAGTGTAACCAGAGATATATCCTCACGTGAATGTCTTACTTTGTCCCTTAACTTGTTTATGGGTTCGAGATGGCGAGACCTAAACCAAGAATGAGACTTGCGTGAGGAACTGTTATTTATGATAGAGTAGAATCTCACGTTAACGTGAGGCTTTAAGGAGAATTTTGTGGAGTTATAGAAGATATATCATAAGCAAACATAAGTCTAGAAACGCCCAATTAAACTGAGGTAGAGTGGTTTCATAAAAAAAATTGAGTATCACCAAAGATATATCACTGTATGAGCGTAGACCTCATCGCATGATCTAGTCACATATAGAAGATGAGCGAGATTTTGTGGTGTAACCACAAACGTATCCCCCTATTAAAATATTCATGATTACTCACGTGATAAAAGATATACTAATTGGTGGAGATACAACCAACTATAGATTAAAATTTATTCAAGCAATAAGTGAGATACTCACATGGCGATATAAGCTCGGTGAAATGGTAAAATCTTTCACTTAGGCTTTTAGTCTTAATAAGGGACCTAGCCTCATATGTGTAAAGCCAAAATCTAAGGGGAAAAGCCCTAAGTTTATATGATAGCAATTTGATTGTTAATTATGCCCTGTTTCTAACGTGAGTTCAAATTTTTATGCAGTTATTTGTGGATGGTTTTTCTGTGGTCTCTATCATTGATTAACATGTATTAAGTTTATGAGGATAGATTCAAGAAGGGTTATGTTTATAGACACGTGTCAATCAATGTTAGAGACAACGAATATGTCACATACAAAATGAATTCAAAATATTTGAACTCTTTTAAAGTAGTGTGGTATCCCACAAAGAGAAGCTATATCTATCATTAGTGCATCATTACCCTTTCATTACATATTTTTTTAGATTACTTTTGATATATGATTGAAGCCTTTTGAAGCAATCCGTTAAAAAAAAAAAGCATATCATATAAAATTATACAAAGCAGAAATGTGGGAAAACAAACAAAGAAGAAAAAGATCATGCATTTCTTGCATTAAATTAATAATTCTATACATATATTATCTATATATATAACAAAAGAGCTTCCAGTTGTTGCAACCAAAGAAAATAAAATATAAAAGAGCTTTAGAAATGATAGAAAAATAGTGTCAACTATTCAAGCACCTGTTTAATATCAAAGTTTTGTAAAAGTAGGACCAACTTCATAGCAGATATCTCGCTTTATTGAAGCAAAATTAAGATATATAAAGATTATTGTGTTGATTAGTTATTCGTCACATATACTCTTATAAAGTGGGGCTATTCACACTTCTTTTTAATTAATCTTACACACACTTCTTAACTTCTGCAATCGGATCGAATAAATTGAAGTAGATAAAAGAACAGAAATTACCAAGGAGCGTTTGGGAGGTAAAAATGAGTGTATGGATAACACCGTCCCCTCTTAGATATCTCATTGTTTGTCATTCATTTGCTCCAAAATTATGATTGTCCAATACGAAAAATACATGGTCTATACGGAAAACCCTTTCATCTTGATTTTGCTACAGTTATAATTATGTTATTTAACTAAAAACCATATTGTTTACTCGAAAGTATGAGTATATAATTAATAAATCTTTGAGTTGGGATGATGCCATGGCCTAGTGGCGATTAATAGCAAATTTGGACCACTAATCCATCATCTGTGAAAATGGTTTAGGGTTGAGTACACTACAAGACACGTTTAACCTACTTTTAAGGAAAGCAAAACCCCTAACTCAGAAGCTCCTCCTTTACCTTCCAAAGCAAAAGGTTTTTCATTTCTTGGGGTAATATTCTTCCTCCCCTCCTAATTAAAAAAATCTTATATCCCTCTCCCTGTATATGGCGGAAAATTCTTACAAGCAACTGGCCGTCCCCTCTGCACATGGGTCTCATCTCGAGTTCACCACTTGTGAGTGCTGCCATACACGATCAACTAGACATACGATTTTTTTTCACCGGCTTTTTAGCTAAAATGGTCTATAAGATTGGCATAATTCTTCTATTTGGTTCCGAAGATTTAAAAGCGATAGAATGGGTCCCTGAGTTTGTCCCCATCAATCATTTGTCATTCCGTGCAAAATCTCCATTATATAAGGATGAAATAACAAAAATACCCTTAGATTTTGTCATATCTAACTCAAAATTTGTTAAATTGAGAGTATTTTTGTCATTTTGGTTTTTATTTATGTTTTATAGAATGATCAAATAATTTATGATGAACAACTCAAAGCCCGCTTCTATTGATTTCAAATTGACGGTAAACAACTCAGGACCCGCTTCTTTCGATTTCAAATCTTAGAGACTAACAGGACTTATATACCAATCTCAAAGACCATAAAAAGCCATGTTCACCTAATGAGCATGGTTGGCAACACCAACACATTAGAAGGGGCACCTAATTTGGACAAATTTTAAGCAGTTTGAGTTGACGAGAGAGGGCAAAGTGCAAAGCTATCCTTAACTAAAGAAAGGAGTTTTCTGATACAAGCAACAGTGCAGGGGGAGGACTCGAACTCAGGAGTTCAGACCTGACCGTGTAACGATAAATGCGCTTAATCAACTAAGCTACAAATCCCTTCCAATGAAAAGAAGGGATATTCAGCTGAACTAACTTAGCATATTCGCAGAACACTACAAGTAGATTATAAAAGAACGAGAAAATTGATCTGCATTATTCTTGTTCTAAACTTACAGCGCAACAACAAATAGAGAATGTGTCGGATTGAGTGATCACTAAAACCTCATGCGTTTTCCTGTGAGATTGCGACCTTGGCTTCTTGTTTTTCTTCTTCACTCACCGCTGTAGGTGTCTCTGTGAGGCCCTCGGGTTCCTTTTTAAGCTCTGTCTCGAACTCCTTTGCTGCCTGCAATATTTACAGAGAATTCAAATACACTCTTTGAGAATTATGAGAAGCACAGAAAGGAGGCTGGACAAAACGAGATAATTATTAGTTATAAGAACAGAACTTCGATAGGCGACAGGAGTAAGCACCGCGAGGTGTATCACTGGGTTCAAAATTTCTTACATTATTCACTTAATTAAGCTCACTGAAGAAAGAAGCAACATTTAAATCAGTCTTCGATTGTGTGCTACCACATACACAAATAAACCATACTCCAATCAAATAAAAGGGTTAGATGCATAAATAATGCATCCTTATTTCTTCTCTTACTCCCCATTTACGAGTGCTTAATCAATTACACTATGAACTAAACTTTTTGTTAAGGTGCCTACTGCTCAGCATTCCTTGGAATTTGATCGTTCGACAAGGGCATACCGAATTTATTTGGATATGTAATGATTAGACCATTACTTTTAGATACTCTACCGATCAACAACTAAATGAGCCAAATCTGTCTCCTTCTTGCTTTTAACAACTTATGAGAATGCTTCCATTGTCGTCCTTATTACTTAAAAAGAAAAAGAATATCCAACTAGAAGACTTTATGCTTACGCTAAAGTAAAAAATATATTCGGAATGCTAGAGAGAGTTGTACTTGGTGACCAAAAAATGAAACTCCAAACTGAGTATATGTGCAACATAATCAACTATTTGGATTTGATATCTATATAAATCCCTCTGCCCATAATCATTTGATCCCTCTCCCGTTCTCCCGATTCCCACATCACACACTTCAAAATAAAATACAGTAAACATAACATTAAAGGTTCCATACGACTAAACTAAAAACTAATTCGCTCGTTAATATATGCTAACTTTCAATGACCAACTCAATTTCAGACCATACTGCATAAAGGCAAATTCAAGGACATATTTTCCCTTTTTTCCCCCTTCCCCAAGATGTATAAAGCCCCTAGAGATATGTAATAATTATTTGAAAATAGACCCCCACATTTTGATCACTCAAAATTTTGCGATTCACATTGTTCACTCCAAGAGAGCAAAAACGGGGAGAATGGAAAGGAGTTGCATTTTGCCCGCTTATTGTTTGTTATTCATAAACAACAGCAAGGGTTACCATTGTATTTGTTTTCCTTCCAATCATCATCATTTCGAACTATGTTATAACTTTGAAATCTTTTACCTTCAATACTGAAACTTCTGAGGAAAACTACCTTCGATTAAACCAATATGTTCACAATAAAAATCACTGTAAACTCTACTACGACTCAGAGGTTACCGTAGTTTCTTTCTCCAATATGAAGGCACCAACGAATGTACAGTTACTTAAACCAAAAGTCATACACAAGGTGCCAACAACTTCTTAAAACATACAACTCACTATAATCAACAATCTACAACATTTCAAGAGTTGCCCTACTCGTAACAACACAAAGCCGGAAAGGGAAGTAAATGGAATATCAGAATTCCAACTTTTCGCCATTTAACACCCAAAGTATAAGGCATTTACTTACCTAATCACCAATACAGCTATGAGCTATCCCACTTAATTCACTCCACTTTAAAATGACTTCAATTCTTCTTCCCCCTTCTTACACATAGTGTTTTCTCCTATCGATTATTGCCACTAACAAGCATGTTCTTCGAGAGTCCAGCACGCGTAGTACAATCATGGCATGTCATTTTGTTCTTACTAATTTGACTTTTAACTTCCCATTTTAACACAACATCCTCAAACATAATAACCCAATTTTGCTTCTTTTATTCCTCTTTTTTCCACAGAAACTAAAGCCAGTGCAACAATAATTCCAGATATTGCATAAATTTTCTCAAGAACAAAACCCCTATTTAGATACATAAAACTACCGAATTTCTTCCAATTCCCAAATACACAAACAACACTAACAATAAAAACAATCCAATAAGCAATAAAGTTCATAAATTTTCTCGAGAACCAAACAGATCCAGTTGAAAAGAAAACAACCTGCTGGAAGCTCTTGACAGTCTTCCCAATGCTCTTCCCCACTTCCGGCAACTTCTTGGGTCCAAAAACCAGAGCCGCCACACCAGCTATAACCACAATCTCCGGCATCCCCAGACCAAACAGAGCGTTACACGTCATACCCTTCTGGGCTCTCTCGGTTCTCGTTCTGCTTCTTCTCAGACCAAAAGCACTGCCATTGACAGTGCTTTTGCTGAAGGACAAAGAGGTGGTGCCATTGCTGGACAAGAAGGTGGATTGGGATGATTGGAAAGGGAGAAAAAGTGGTGATCTTGGAGTGGACAGAGTAAAAGATGAAATCTCCATGAATTTTTTTTTTTGTTAATTACTTTATCTGATTTTTGCCTTCTGGGTTTTGAAGATTTTGTTGAACTTTGCGTGTAATTGTATTGGGGTGTGGAAGATTAGATAACTTGAAATTGAAGGGGACGGTGGCTCCAGCCGAAAGAAGAAAATAAGAAGGGAAAGGTGGGACCTTTGGATGTAAATATTGACCAGTGATTTTCACGTGGGCTACTAAAGTTTGATCCACTCTGAGTTTACAATAAATTTTAACATTTATGAAGGGTTAGGTATAAATATTATAATTTGAATTGTTTATTTTTTTTTAATGTGGTAAGAAAATCAACGTCTAATAATAACAAATAATATTCTCACGATTAACAGGTAAATTGTTCGATGAAAATGGTCTCCAAAAATTGAGAAATTTTCTAAGAACGATGATGAAGAAAATAAATGACCTAAATGATGATTTTTTATAGTAAAATGATGTCATGTCATCGCGCAATAATTTTATTAAAAAAAAAAGATTCATGAAATCCGACATCTTCGTTAGCCCACTCTATTAATATTGGTCTCACGGTCGCCTTTTCGTTTGTTTGAGGTCTTTTTGCAATTATAGTTTCAGCATGGTAAAACTTGACTCTGACACCAATCGTATATATACAAATTAAAACTTGAGTAAAATAACAAACAAATACTAAGCTAGTTTGATCAACTAATCAACTCACGATTATTTTTCTCTTGAAGACATCCATATAATTCGTTACTTAATTGGCTTCCTTTATTTAATTAAAAATTATTACCATTAGTCCCTCAACTTTAATCTAACTGGAGAAATGGTCCCTTGACTTTAACTCTATTAGAGCAATGGTCCCTCAACTTTTTGCCTAATTGTAGCAATGGTCCTTCAACATAACTCATTTTGACAAAATTCTAACGAACCGGACGAAAATGACCATAACTACACGTTTTGATGAATTAAGGGACCACAATTGTAACAATGATCCTTCTAACATAACTCATTTTGATAAAATTTTGACGGAATAGACGAAAAGGACCATAGCTACACATTTTGATAAGTTGAGGGACCAATGGTAATGAATTTTTAGTTGAATGACCATTGCTCCAATTTGATTAAAGTTAAGGAACCATTGCTACAATTTACTCTATTAAATGTGTAAAAATTGCCTCTAAAATAAACTTATGACCACCCAACGTCTTCGTTAGCCCATCCCACTTTATTGATATTGGTCTCATGGTCGTCTTTTCATTTGTTTGAGGGTTTTTTGGCAATTTTTATAAATAAAATTTGAACTTGAGTAAAGAAAACAAATATGTTTATCTAACCAACTGATTTAATTCATGTCTTCGTTATTTTCTCGCGAAGACATCCATAAAATTCATCACTTATAAGCTTTTTTTTTTTTTTCCTTCAGCAAGAGCACTTGGTAGCTAGCTAGCCTCTCCATTTCAAGTTCACTTCCAAGAACTCACATGCACCATCTCCCAAGAGCCAGAGCTCTCTCTCTCCTAAACCTAAACCTAAAATCCACGCACCAACTCAAAAAAATTCATGCCCAATTGATCACCAATGGCCTCAAATCTCCCTCCCTCCATGCCAAACTCATCCAGCAATACTCTGCCTTCTCATCCCCAAAAAGCACCAACCTTTATGCCCATTTGGTATTCCAACACTTTCAAGAACCAAACTTGTTCCTCCTAAACACTTTGATCAGATGCTCCCGACCCAGAGATTCACTTCTTGTTTTTGCCAATTGGGTTTCTAAATCAACCTTAGTTTTTGATGATTCTACCTACATTTTTGTCCTTGGAGCTTGTGCTAGATTGCCTTCGGTTCCAACGTTGTTGGTAGGCAGACAGATACATGGTCGGATTGTGAAACATGATGTCGTATCAAATATTTCGGTGCAAACAACGTTAATACATTTTTATGGTAGTAATGACGATGTTGTTTCGGCACGGAATGTGTTTGATGAAATGCCTGTGAGAAATTGTGTTACGTGGAACGCAATGATCACGGGGTATTGTTCGCAAAGAGAGAGTGTCAGTGATGCGTTGGTGTTGTTTCGGGATATGTTGGATGATGTTTGTGGGGTGAAACCTACGGATACTACAATGGTTTGTGTTCTTTCCGCGGCGTCTCAGCTGGGCGTGTTGGAAACTGGGGCTTGTGTACATGGTTATGTGGAGAAGACAATGTGTGTTCCTGACAATGATGTGTTTATGGGGACTGGCCTTGTTGATATGTACTCGAAATGCGGATGTGTTGATAGCGCTTTCTGCGCTTTCAAGCGAATGAAAGAGAAGAATGTATTGACTTGGACAGCAATGGCGACCGGGCTAGCCATTCACGGCAAGGGAAATGAAGCATTGGAGCTTTTGGATGTAATGCAGGGTTCTGGAATAAAACCCAATGCAGTGACTTTCACCGGCTTGCTTTCGGCTTGTTGCCATTCGGGTCTTGTTGAAGAAGGCCTCCATTTGTTCCATTTGATGAAGAGCAAGTTTGATGTCGTGCCTCGGATGCAACACTATGGTTGCATTGTCGACATGCTTGGCCGCGGAGGGCACTTGAAAGAAGCCTATGAGTTTATAGTAGGGATGCCAGTTGAACCTGATGCCGTCTTGTGGAGGAGTTTGCTAAGTGCTTGCAATCTCCATGGGGATGTTGCAATGGGAGAGAAGGTGGGGAAGAAGCTGCTCCGTGTACAGTCCACGCAGAGTTACGCGGATTCAGCTCTAAAGAGTGAGGACTATGTAGCTTTGTCGAACGTTTATGCTTTTGCTGAAAGGTGGGAGGATGTGGAGATGGTAAGACAGGAAATGAAGGTTAAGGGAATCGAAAACAAAGCCGGTTGGAGTTCACTTCAAACTTCAAGCCGTTAGCAATATGTTCTGAATGACTTGTAGATCAGCATCGAATGATTTATTCTTTATTTTCCTATAGAATTTGTTCGAGTTGTAACATTTGATGCTGTGTCAAAGAAGGCCACGAAAATGAGCGTATAATCTGTTCCGTGCATGACAAGAAAAATTGAAAGTGCTAGAAGTATCGAACTGTTTAATTCAGTGTGGTACAGATGAAGAATAGCATTGTTTACATGACTAATCCAAAAGTAAAGAGGCAATACAATGGTTGTTCAAAGCATCCTTTAATCAATCTTTCCTCGTGCGTAGATCACTCTGTTTGTAATTACTGCTCCCAATTGGACGGGTTTCCACCCCTTATCCGCTTTTGCAGATGCTCTAAGCTAGCAACTCGCTGAAGGGAAGGTGTTCGTCCCATCTTTTTCCCCGACACATCTGCTGATGATGTTGCTGCAGAATTCTTCTGCACGTTTTCAACAGAAGGAACGTCTGCAGAATCATTCTTGACTCTCGGGTCATGAGTTGGTATAGGGTTATTAGAAGCAGGTTGAAAGAAGTGGTGATTTGGGTCATCTTGCTCCGGAACAGCAGCGTCTATTGATGCCTCTGAAGGGCTTCCATCAAATGGTGGCATGCCGATTGATGACACCTCTGACGTAGCATGGAACATGGGGTTCGACCCGGTAAATCTTTTCACCATCTCCTCAGCCATCTTTACCTGGAATTTAGTCACAAATGAAGTAACAAAGTTTATATGATTATTTTCGGTTCATATTCTAGGAGCCTTCGAGGAACCAGTTACCAAGGCATTCAACTTTCGAGCAGTTCAGGGTTACCTTTGCTCTCAATGTTTCGATATCAGCTTTTAAAACTCTATTGTCAACAGCCGCTTTGTTGTACTTCTCGTCTGAATCAGTCAGACGCTTCAACAGAGAGGAGTTCTCGACTCTTAATTGAGATACCTACGAAGAAAATTGCGTTAGGAAATCTATAGAAGACCAAAATACAGAGATAAAACAGGAAGCCGAGAAAAAAAAGAACAAACCTGTCCCTCAAGATCAGTCAAATGTGCCTGCTTTCTTCTTCTCGAGCGTCTAGCTGACTCTCTATTAGACAGCATTCTGGAAAAGGCGGGATGAATTAGCGAAAAGGCAATGAAACCAAACGTATTTGAAGCCAAACATTTGAATCAATAATTAAGAGATGGAGATTAGGCTGTGCTTGTTACAACCAGAAAATCAGATGCCGCTGTTACCTCCTCACGCGTTTGACATCAGCAGGGTCCATGTTCTCATTCATTGCAGTTTCACCTTCAGCTTCCTCATCGTCTGTCATTTCTCTCGATGATCCGCTAGTTGCCTGCCTTACTGGGATAGCGGATCTATATTTCGTTGCAGGTAACGAAGGAATGGCACCAAGTGGTGCATGAGCATTCTTATCATTTGACCTGGATAAATCATACCCAGCTCCTACATAGGTAAAAATAGTAAAAGAATATATATGACATTCTAACAACATTATCTAGCACAAAAGCAGAAGTACATGCGAATTATGAACATGTTTTTGTTCAAATGGAAACCTTTCGAAGGGGCTTCAGATCCGAGTTGTGAAGTACTTGAAGCGTGTGATCCACTGTCAGCCAAAGCCGCAGATTCTTGTGCTTTCACCAACGATCCCTATTGACACGACCAGAACATATCAGCGAGCACTTTGTCAATACATAACATAACTTCGTAAGAAAAATTCTCGAGAAATTCATGAAGATCGAATTAGATCTCAACAGGAGAATCGGCGTTTTACTAGAAAAGAAAAAAAAAGGAATGGCTTTTAACTCTGTTTCTACCAAAAAATTGGCGTTCCAAAAGATTACTTGATCTTTAGAACCCTACCACAGAAAGTTCCTTTGGGAAAACACATTCATCTGTTCGGTTTCACTCGGACTTCAAAACCATGTTTCAATTGTTAATGTTTTAGTTTTAGCAATACGCGGTAGCTAAGCGATTTTTCTTGAGTACCTACATGCTATAAACACTCAGTGTCGACGCATATTTTGACCGTTGGATTTCATCCACGGATGGTGGGCAGCAGCCCTGCTTTTGCTTTCAGACAATTCATCCTTTTGTGGCAGTAAGTTTTCTTTCCTTTCCATTTTAGCTCCGTCAAATAATATTCAAGCGTATCGAACAAACCAAGTTAACCAACCAACCAGTTATAAACACTTCGTGTAGAATTACTTTTTTGGGAAGCACCTGTCAGGTAGGATCCTCTCTGGATCATTTCCACCTAATCCTCGTCATCAAATAATCCGGATCCTTGAAATTTCATTCAAAGGCTAAAGTTTTAGCCGTTGTATCAAATTTCAAGGATTCAGATTGTTTAATAAGGAGAATTAGAGAAAAGAGATCCGGATTCTTAAAAAAGCACTCAAATTTTTAATAATTTTTTTGACATATTTATAATAAAAGCACTTCTTAAAAAAAACGCTTATGAACGGAATTGTAGTGTTTTCCTAAAAAACAAACCCAAGGGAGAGACTCTGTTTGGATACCGAGAAAAAGCTAAAAGCAGAAAGAATGAAACTTTAATTATTGAATTGTCAATGCACAAAGTAGAAAGCAGCTTACTTGAGTTAAACATTCCACTCACAAAAATAAATAAATGATAGATTTCAAATTCAATTTTTTTTCTAAGAAAATTAATGAAAATGATTTGAAAACTTTTAATTTTAATCAAAAAGATAAAAAAAATGTTGTAAGTGAATAGTATCAGAAGTGATTTTTTAAAATAAAAATATCATTTTCGTTGAAAATTGAATAGTACCGAAAGTATTTCGTTAAAACTCCAATTTTTGTTTCCTTGAACTTTCTCAGCAACCAAACAGAAGTTAAGCTCATTCCCAACCCATTGGTCTGACTTTGACCATATTTTCTCGGAAAAGCAGAGCAAACCAGAAAATGAAACCATGAGAATAAAATGCCCAGAAAGAGAGAAAGGACGAACCTCCCGCGACAAAGCCACGGCGGCGCAGGCGAGGTCGAGCTTGGTCTTCAGGAACGCCCGGTACTCATCGGAATCGACGGTGACATTAGGCGGTCGCATGTTGTTGTAGTGAGTGTGAGTGGGGTTGTGGTGGTGGGCATTGATCATCTTAATCTCTTCAACGTCGTTTTGGTCGTGATGGTGAGCTGTAGAAGAAGAAGAAGGATGCGGAGGTGGCGGCGGCGTCGGCGAGGGTGAGGGGGAGTAGGGAGAAGCTTCTTGGAGAAAACGCTGGAAGGCCCACTCCGATGCGCTTCGGTTCAACTTAGACAAGTTGTCGTCGTCGGCTCCGCCATTGTCCGCCGGCGCTGTGGAAGACCACAGCTGGTCGGACATTTCCTCCACTGAAAACACCCTATCCATCTCTCTCTGTTTCTCTCTCTCTCTCTCCTCTCTCTCTGTTTCTCTCTCCTATTGTCTTGCTTTCTAGTTTTGGTCAAGGATTTTATCCGATTTGGATCCTTAAAGTTGGACAACAAGTCATTATATTTTGGTTGAATATTATTTATTATTTGGTATTTAGCCTAAATTAATATTAAAAGTGGATGATTAATATTCTGCGGGGTCCTTGAAATAAGAAAACTTTAAAAGAATTTTGGATAGGGAAATTTTCCTTTTGGTTGATCGAATGTGTTTGAATTACATTGATTTTAGTCCTCGCATTCATTAGGTCCATTGATCGAAGAAATATGTCGTTTTTCTATATTCAAGTTTCTCCATTAATGATTGTTAGAAAAACTTAGAAAGATTTCAATCAACGTTCATTGGAGTTTAATCTCTTCGTTTGTTATCACTGTTTGTTAGAAAATCTTGTAAAAGTTTCAATCAAGGTAAACTCGACTTTGATTCCTCTGCCATGTTTAGAGTGGTTTAGATCATCGTCTAGTTAGAAAAGCTAATATTGATTTCAATTGAGTTGGATATTGTTAAAAAAAAATAGTCTCAATTTCCTCTTTTTTATATTACGTAACATATTTTGCTTTGATTTCTTTTGTTCAAGGAACATAAATTCCCCACTCCTCAGAAGGGGCTCATTTTTCATATACATTGATAGTAAGAAACGACTTTTTGTTACGTTCCGAATCTAAGCCAAAACAAATAATGCACGAAATGAAAAGATTTCAACAAACTCTTATCTTAACTCTCATTAAATACATTTTTATCTTTTTTACATAACAGTACGTAATTGACCTGAAATACTATTAAAATTCTAAACGCCTCGAAATTCATTTCTCATGCATGTTGATAGAATGAGACGACCTCTTCTTACACATCCAATACAAAAACAAAAAGCATACCAAACAAGAGGCAATGAGTGCTTTCCCCCCAAAAAAAAAAAAAAAAAAAAAAAAAAAAACAAGAGGCAATGAGCGAATTGAAAAGACTGCAAATGGCGCCTTTCCAAGTGGATGGGCATTGAAGCCATGCTGGCGCCGTCCATTTGTGGATAAACACTAAACTACCCCCACACATTTTGTTGGGCCCATTTTTTTGTGGGGTCCATTATGTTCTCTCTTTTAAGGCACCCAATGGACAAATAAAAAGTCCCTTTTGTCTCTTTCTCTTTGTGCTACCACCACCACCATCCTATATGGGGTGGGGTCCCAAATGAATTTAAAATAAATAATAATTAATAAAAGACTTGTCCTTTTTTAATTTGGTGGCCAGAAAAATGTTATCTATACTATTATTAATAAGAGAACTATTCTTATCAATTGTTTACTATTTTTTTTTTTTCAATTTTGCTCATTTTTTATATACAATACTTACATTAGAAGGGTAAAATAGTAATTTTGTATTTTTTGCCCTTTTTTTCCTATTTTACCCTTACTTTTGATACACAATACTTGAAGGCAAAATAGTAATTTTGTATCTTTTGAGAAAATAACAATTATATCCCTATTTTTCGTATTTTACCCTCATTTTTGATAAACAATATTTACATAAGATGGACAAAATAATAATTATGTGATATTATGATAAAATATGCACTTATTAAGATAAATTATCTCACCATCAATTTTTCATACTCTTTTTAAAATTTTAAAAACCAATCACAATCCTTAATAAAAAAAACAAAAAACAAAATGAAATTGTTCACACACACATAGTGTGTGGTCATTGGGTAGGATTAATTGAATAGAGGTCTTCCTCCAATCTTACTGTTCGAAATTCGAAGATCAGACAATTTGAATTTCTCAAATTGAATTTAAAAGTCTTCATTAATTGATTTCGTTTGTTTACCTCACACCAATTAAGAACTCTAATCTCTCTTCCACACAAATTAAGAGTCCAAATTTCTGGTTATTAAAATTCCGCAGAGTCAGACATGCAGAGAATATAAATTCATATTAATCGAGACCTCTTTTGTATATTAATATTTTATGAGGCCAATATTTTATCTCTCATCTCATTGGTGAAAGAAAATAATGTGGAAATTGGTGGCGGCTCTTTGAATATTTCTTTGATGACCTGGGTTAGAATTAAAATATTTTCATTTACTTTCAAGCTAATCCATTCACGATCACTGTGAGTTAACAAAGGTTCTCGCGTCCGAGAGCAACTTGCATAAAATAGATTCACCGTCATGTAACGTCCAACTCTAATAATGTGCTCTAATATTGTAATATCAATTATTAAACCAGAACGTCACGTAACAACTACTTGAGCTGGAATACACACGCTCCACTAGTGCGCCCCAAACCAATCTCGTGATATCGTGTGTTTCAACTTTTCTACGTAGTAAGGTGTAATTAGTTGCGTATTGAGGTTTGCAGCGTTTTTCTCTATCCATGTGGTAATTCCCAAAAAAATGCAACATGTATAAATAATAGACTTGTCCCTTGACATGGTGATCATTACAAGGAGAATAAAATGACACACAATTTGAATTGGTATTTAATAGATAAGGTTTTAGGAACAAAGGAACCTAAATACAAAGACATACCAACCAACCTGAGGAGTACAGAACTTGGTGTGAACAGAATGGCAAAAACACACATAGTATCGAAAGCAATACTTATTTTTCGCAACCTCTCGGGTAAAACATATCGAAAGACTAGATGATCACCGCCTTCCTGATGCAACAGATTCAGTGTTGAAGAGGTACTTCACTCGTGAAAGAACTGAGTCGTGTGCAGGGTCATAAGGATGGTCCTTGGACGGGATTTCCAAAATAGCTGGAACCGGCTTATTGTAGCTATCGACGAGAAACCTTATCATGTTTGCAACCTGGTAAGAGAAGAACAGGGTCACTTCCCTTTGAAATAATCTTGAACCAACATCCGATTTGGAAGAAATGCATACATTTGAATTACATACAAAGATTGCTATAGATTCTAAAAGGTTGGGCAAGTGCTTGGGCACTATGGATATTGCCTTGAGAACCAGAAAAGGCGCATTCATAACGGTTGAAGAACTTTTAAGTACGAGAAAGAACTTACATATTGACTGATCAAGACAATTGCAATGTCGTCCTTTGTTGTAAACTCTTTGAATGCATCTTCAATTTGTTTCACTGTTGTTTCTGAGAAGAAAACCGGAAGCACGTACTGTTAGAAACTTACCACCGTTCTATAAACCTTGCTTTAAATATTAATATGAATTTATTAGCTAATTAATTACAGGAAAAAAAAAAACAGAAAAGGAAAGAAAAGTAGGCTTTTTATTTAAGGGACCAGGCTGTGGGCCAATTTCAAGTTCTGTGATTCTCGTTTAAGAAGAAAGACATAAGGAACACCAAACCGCTGTCGCTGCAGCCAAAACGTAACTGACCAAAATGTAATATTACACCTTGCTTCATTAATGAATGATGACAGGCTAAATTGTTTGTTTTTTCTTGATAAACAAGAAGGGATTTCAGATAGATTTCATTTCCTAGAAGTTTGTGATTTCCTTCCCATTGCCTTACTCCTTTCACTTACCCACAGGATTAGACCGCAAAAATACCTGACTAATAGACTACTAATCATATACTAGAACTGGCATTTTGGCCCATCAGCTAACCTATCTGCATACAAATATTTAGAAACAGACGACCAGTATAAATGAAGTTTCAACACTCGCGCATAAATAAAGCTCATAACGTACTTGAATCAACAATAAGATAATTTGTCTTTCTTCGCAAGTCAACGTTACCCACTCCAGCTAGCAAAAATCCGGTTACAGTGTCCTATACACGATAACAAGCATCTCATCAGAAAGACAAATCGAGAATACAAGAACAGATTTCAAACAAAAGATTACCGAAAAGACTATCCACACCTCATCAGCAATCATGGCAATGAGCGCTGAACTCTTATTGGGAATGTTAGCTCTGCCGGCCATTTTAAGTTAATATCGACTACAACAAGAAAGAAGAAAAAACGATATCAACCACATTGGAAAGTCAAATTTACAAAATGTACAGAACTAGTTCCCATCGATATACTTCTCAATCCTAGCGGAACAATTCTATGACTACGATATCATGTTTATAGACAGATATCAAGCTCATAAGCAAATATGTTTAAACCGACGCAAACTTTCCGGAACTCCACAGTATAAAGATGAATGTAATCAAGATAATTGAATCAATGATGCCAATGTCAATGAGAACAGAATTCACACAAGTGATATCAGTGATCGAAAATCGAAAATCGAAAATCGGAAAATGAAGACGATGCAGTTAGTTGGCAATAGTTCCAAATCAGTATTCAAAATTAGCTGAAAAATGATTAGCCAAAATCCCACCCTGCAAACAAAATCTGGATCCAAAAAATTTCCCAGCTGAAATCAAAGACTCAAATTCTGCATTCAATCAGAAAAATCAAACACCAAAATGTTCAAATCATAAACTGACAGTCTGAAATCTAAACAAACCAAATAAACAAATCAAAAATAAACCAAACAAGACATTTAACAGTAAAAAAATTAAATTAAAATTAAGACCAAATTCACACACGCAGCAATTCCAACTAATCAGACAACAGCAGAAAAAATGAAACTTTGACGGATCTAGGGTTGCAAAACGACGGCGTATCAAATCAATTTGGGAATCAGCATACCTCTAGGGTTTGAATCTGAGCTTCCGATTCAGCTTCGCAGTACCAAATATCCTTTTTCCGGTGGTTTATTTCGTGCGATTTCTAGTTGCGATCGAATGCCTAATTTTATTTTTATTTATTTATTATTATATAGCCCAACGGGCTCATAGTTTCTTATGAGCCGTGTGCTAATGTACGCCCAAACGGCCCACTCTTCAACTCGATCCAAAAAAAAGCCCAGAAATCTAGGTATCCCCGAATTTCGGGAATTCGCTAAGGTACCGTTTGGTACGCATACCGAATAGAACGGAACGGGACATAAAGGAACAAAGTGAAACGGAATGGAGATTTCATGCTAGGTTTGGTGTACACTCATGTCGGAATTGAACGAATGATTAAATGACACGTTTGGTGTACTCTCCATGCTGTTTTTCTTCTTTGAATATAGAAATCAAAAGCAAAGAAAATTGCTTTTTGTTGGGTTTTTTGTCACTTAGTTTCTCAAAAAATTTGAAGTGTGACCAAAGAAGCTTGATATCCCGAAAAAATAAGAGAATTCAGTTTTTGAATTTATCTGTTGAGGTAAATTTCGATTTTTGATGAATATTTTATGCTAATTGTGAATAAATGTATAAATCTTTGGATTTGATTAATTTTAAAGTGAAATTAATGAAAAAGAGAAGGGGTATTGTTGTCTAAAAAGTTATAATTTTGTGTTCCATGTGTTAGAATAAGTCGTTCCAGAGAGGAGGTTGGCACAAAAATTTGATTAAAATCTGTTCCATGAGACAGCGCGTAATAAATTGACGCACAAAATGTGGAATGGTGCGTCACGTTCCACTGCGTTCTGTTTCATTCCACGTACCAAACGGTACCTAAGATTCAGGATCCTAATTCAAAATCCTTAATTCAGCGATCCTATTCAAAATCCCTAATTTCAAAAGCCCTAATCCAGAAACCCTATAATCAAACAATCTCCATGAACTTTGGTTGAGTTTATATCGCAGGAATTTCTTACCTTGTGCAGCGAAGAGGGAGTGAGGGTTGAGACCGAGAGCTAGATTCAGGCGATGAATTTGGGTGACGCCACTGATGTGGGAGGACTGAGGAAGGAGGAGATGCCGATTCGGTTCGGGCGGAGGAGACGGTGAGAGTGCGGTGAAGTCGGGAGAGTGATTACTCAGGTTAGGCAAAAATGAACGGTTGAGATTTTTTTTCTCAACCAATCCGACGATTCACAGAATTACGTGCGCTAGCAATGAAAGCTCTAAGATAAGAGGACCTTCCAGGTAATTTCATTTGGGCCCCAACAAAAACAGGCCTTGGCACATTCAGCCCATCTTTCTATGAACTTTCTCCTTTGGACAAGTGGTGGGGCCCATCCAGTCATGGCCCTCTCACTTCGATCCGTACATTACGAAGCCACCCCAGAATTTCACGATGATTCGTTTTTTGTACAACCAACTTAGTTTTTTGAACCCTCATTAATTTTATTTTAAAAAACACTCTCGTACTTGTATGCAAAATTACCCCAAAAAACGTAGTGATTTTTAAGAAAAAATTATTTATTTGGACGTTGATTTAACGAAAATAACTATTTTCTCTGTTTATCGGTTTTGAAACAAACAACGTGGTAATCAAACTGCTGATGAACTTTGCTCTCCCCGTGCTCTTCCTCAGCCTCATCTACCACTTGTTCTTCTTTATGTTCGCTGCCTGACTCTCCCCATACTTCTCACATAACCAGCGCTCGAGGCGTTTGGGGTTTGCTGTCTCAAATTGGGTCGTGATGATTCTGATTTTAGACCCATATAAAGTTTTTGATAAAATATAATCTAGTTTGGTAAAAGAGAGAATCAAACTCGACTGTAAAAATACTAAAAATAACCTCATTTTTTAGCTAAATGATCTAATATACATATGCAAGATGTGGTAATGGTAATCTCATTTATGGGACTCTTAAGTTGTTTTCGATATAACTCTGAAATTTTGAATTTTTAGATCAATAATAAAGAATAATTATCAAAATTTAACCGACAAAATTTTAGTATATAAAATATTCATAGCTTAATAGAATTTTCCACCAATTTTACAAGATAAATTTGACCTCAATCGCAAAACGATATGTGAAGTAACACTCATAACCAACTGACCAAATCCGTGTCTCCGTGGTGGTACAAGTTTGGTAGCTTTATACGGTTGGGGATCTGATCGTGACCGTTCATCATATATCATGGGTGAGAAATCATTTAAAATTTAAAATTAAATATAAATAGTACCTAACAAAAACTGACCTTATAATATACAATGAATGGTCACAATCATAGGATCCCTAGAATCCTCAAAAAACAAAAAATCTAGCAAGGATCCTTCTCTGCTTTATACCGCCTCTCTCTATCTCTCCCTCAATAATTTATGGAAAACCCATGATATTATTAAGGGAACTTTAACAAAAAGCTATCGGTACTATTCACTTTAACGAAAAATTATATTTTTACACTAAAAAATCAATCCTGATACTATTAAATTTATCCTTTATTTTATTCTTATTTTTAAAACTCAAAAATTTTAAATTATTTTCATTAATTTTCCTTATTAATTAACGAGTGGCGTTGCATTGTTGGCTGTGTTCAAATATCCTATAAATAGTAGCAGAGCGTTACAGCCAGAGAGCCCATACCCCATATCATAACCCCTTTAATCTCCTCCGAACCCAGCTTTTGCCAATCATTTTCTTCTTCCCAACTTCTCAAAAGCTTCAAAGCTCCAAACTTTTGCTCTGTCCAGGTAAAATTCCCAAATGGGTTCTCTGGGTTTCTCTCACTTACTCTCTCTCTCCCTCTCTCTCACATGCTGGTTCCAATTGTTGTAACATTTGATGGGTTTTCTGGGTTGTAACATTTGATGGGTTTGTTCATAACAACATTATTCTCTGGTCTTGAATTCTTGGAATTCTGGTGGTTTGTATAGCAGGAGGGAATCTAGTTGTCTGCTAAAATTTCATTCCTTTTGCATACACTACTTGATTTTAGCAAAATCTTGAAGATATAATTGTTTTTCCATGTGATTTGATGATGTTTTCATTTGGGTTGGTTATGAAATGTTCAGTAATACTTTCTTTACATTAATTTGGAGATATTTTGATCTTAATTTGCTTGTGTAGGTACTGGTTATACTCTTTTCCCATTTTTCCAAACTTTCTTGGGTGGTTTATCATTTTTTGTTTTTTTTCATTGTTCAATTTCTCTGCAATATCTACTCAGTGGATGTGAAATTTTAGTTAGTGGGTGAAATTTTCATGTTGGTTAGGTTGGGGTTCATTTTCGTTTATATTGTTAATGATTTGTCAGAAGTAATGACTTTCTAGCTTGTATAGCAAAGCAAGTTAACTAATCCGTAAGGGCTCATAAATTCTAATGCGAAAGTGGTAATCTTTTTCCTGTGTATCTAATCTTTCAGAATGGGAAGTACCGGCGAAACTAAGTATGGTGCGTACACCTATGAGAACCTCGAGAGGGAGCCTTATTGGCCTTCTGAAAAGCTCCGAATTTCCATTACTGGGGCAGGTGGTTTTATCGCCTCCCACATTGCTCGGAGATTGAAGAATGAGGGTCATTACATTATTGCTTCTGATTGGAAGAAGAATGAGCACATGACTGAAGACATGTTCTGCCATGAATTCCATCTTGCCGACCTCAGGGTCATGGATAATTGCTTGAAGGTTACGAAGAATGTTGACCATGTGTTCAACCTCGCAGCTGATATGGGCGGAATGGGCTTCATTCAGTCCAACCATTCTGTCATATTTTATAACAATACCATGATTAGTTTCAATATGGTCGAAGCTTCTAGGATCAATGACGTGAAGAGGTTTGATCTCCCAAACTTGCAGTTATAACTTTGATGTGGTGTATGAATGCTTTATGTTTGAGTTGGAAAGTTGGGACTTTAACTCCAAAAGGCTTTGAAGTACTTGAATACTCAAATTCTTTATCTGTTATCTGGGTTTCTGCAGGTTTTTCTATGCTTCTAGTGCTTGTATTTACCCTGAGTTTAAGCAGCTGGAAACCAATGTCAGCTTGAAGGAGTCTGATGCCTGGCCTGCAGAGGTATGTTACGTTACGGTTATGGTTTTGGTCTCTAGTTTTGGACGAATTAAATGAATTCAGTCTTTTTGTACCTTTATTTGTAGCCTCAAGATGCTTATGGCCTGGAGAAGCTTGCAACTGAGGAATTGTGCAAGCACTACACCAAAGACTTTGGAATCGAATGCCGTATTGGAAGGTTCCACAACATTTATGGCCCTTTTGGAACCTGGAAAGGTGACTTGAATTGCAATGATAGCTGATAAGGATGCATGGTCTATTTCTTTTTATCCTAATTTGTGTTGCTTACTTGTATCTGTTGTATAGGTGGAAGGGAGAAGGCTCCTGCTGCGTTTTGCAGAAAGACTCTCACTGCCACTGATAAGTTTGAGATGTGGGGAGATGGACTTCAGACCCGATCCTTCACTTTTATTGATGAATGTGTAGAAGGTGTACTTCGGTAAGAACCTTGTTACTATCACTTTTTCGTTTCAAAACTTTTCTAGCTGAACCACACTTCTTTTTTAGGGTTTAAGCTTCAAAATACTTGACTTTCTTAGATGTTGTTGATTGTTTTTTATTCTGTTTTCACAAGGCTCTGTGGAGTCTAGTTTAGTTGATTATAATGGTTATCATAGAACTTAAACCTTTATGGATTTGGTTTTGAATCTTTTGCATTATAATGTAAGTTCTCGTTGAAGGTGTTACGAGGGCATTTTCTGCAAGTAATTGTATGACAGTGCTAGATATGAAGACAAATGAATTTATTACATTGTTGAAATATCTTTCTGTTACATGTTCGATTTATATCTGCAGGACCTTACAACATTGTATGGTAGATTAACATGGCCCTTGTACAAAAACTTCCATTATTTATTTTTTCTTGGGGCAAATTTTATTAGGTATATGTTGGGTTTCACATGAAACCCCTTTAAAATTTGTAATTTATGTCCTCTCTTTCATGATTTAGGTTGACGAAGTCAGACTTCCGCGAGCCAGTGAATATTGGAAGTGATGAGATGGTTAGCATGAATGAGATGGCTGAGATCGTTCTTAGCTTTGAGGACAAGAAGCTGCCTATCCAACACATTCCTGGGCCAGAGGGTGTCCGTGGTCGTAACTCAGACAACACACTGATCAAAGAGAAACTTGGTTGGGCTCCTACCATGAGGTTGAAGGTAAATAGCTTGAGAGTACCCATTCTGCAGTTTCTTAAATCCACCGAGTTTCTTTAAAGTCGGGGTTTATTGTTGTCAGTTTTGTGATTGCTCCCTGTTTACGGCATAGTTTGAACTCACATTTTCATTTTGTTCATTTAGGATGGTCTGAGAATTACATACTTCTGGATCAAGGAACAGATTGAGAAAGAGAAGGCACAAGGCGCTGACCTCTCGGTGTATGGCTCATCTAAGGTTGTGGGAACCCAAGCCCCAGTTCAACTTGGTTCGCTGCGTGCTGCTGATGGCAAAGAATGAAGGGTCCTACAAAACTGCACCGGAAAATATAGTATTCATTAGTTCTGGTTATGATAGCAGGGCACATTCCATGTGCGTGGACAATAAGGAGGGAAGCTTTTATTCCGCTCCCGTTGAATATCTAGCTTGTTAGTTAAATCTGCCACCTTAGGATTGCCTTTGTATTTTGTTTCCCTATCTTTAGCATTATTCAGTTTATGAGTTCAGTTGATTCTGTTAAGATTTTTTTTCGGGTTCAAATTTCAGTATCGACCTGTCCCGAATGTTGAGACCGGCTGTTTTCAACCCGCGGGCAATCGGAGATATGCTTGTCTGAGTTATGCTGTTTTATGCTTGCAAAAATTGATCTTTGGTACCTTTACCTTTGCTTTTTTTTCTGCCTGTAATTCGCAATCCCTTTCCTTGCAATGGTTGATAAGATGGTTGTTAGTTGTTTACTTGCAACTAACAAAGCTTCATCTTTTTGGTGGCTCCCACCATTGCCTATTGCTAATGCTCGGGAGATTCTTGCATACGATCGGAGATATATCCATTGAAGAGAGATATAAGAAGAGAATGATTGTTGTAAGAGAGAGCCAAGTATCTCTCGCTCGTTCATTGTATACTTGTTAGTCTTAATCGAGCTTAAAATGTGCGACATCATTAGAGCGAGAAACATTATAGTGAAATTTTACAGTACAAGCACAATAAGAACCACTCCCTAATGCTTTTCACTCTTCCCTTGTCCTCCTCCTGTGCATCCCTAACTTCCTTTTTTTTTTTTTTTTTTTCCTGTTGTTTTACCACTTATTTATTCAATCATGTGGTCAGAAATGATTTAAAAAACCATCAAAAATTTGTGGATCAAACCCAAGCAAATGTAAAAGATATATACCAAGATTCTTTGAAGCATAAAGAATATATTAATTCAATCGTTTCAACTTGGCAGCTTGATTGTGAAAGATGATGATGATATTTAAATTATAATTATGAGATGATAGCGTTGATGGAGGGGCTTTTAATGACGGACGGTGGAATCCGTGGCTAAAAACTTTGGATGGTAACGTGGCAGAATTGTTTGTGTTAAAGACTCACCTACAAAACCCTTACGTGGATGCTCAGCATATCCAAATACCGACTACATGCTTTTCCCTTCCTGCCCATCTCTCTGTTCACGGAAAACAATTTACGTGAAACGATTTTACTGTTATTGTACCGTCTTGATTCAATAACGCATTAACATGTGAAGAATAATTTAGACATGGCAAAAAATTATTGAATATAAGGCTCATTTTGGAACTGTTTTTAAAATGACTGAAAGCGTTTTTTGTGAAAATGTTTTGGAACCATTTTTTTAGTAAAAATGCAAGTGAATCATAGAAAATAAGTTTAAGTGCTTCCTACAAGAAGTATATAATTGGTGCTTTTTACAAAAATACTTTAAGGGCTTTTGGGACACATAAGTATTTTTTCTAAAAGTATTTTCAATTATTTTAAAAACATTTTTAAACGTGTTGTTGACCATGTTTGATAGAAAATGTTAAAAGTGGTTTATATAAAAGCATCTAATGTGTGATTCTTTTAGGAAGAGCTTCAAGTTTTTTCTTTCAAGAAACACTTGTTTTTTTTAAAAAAACTTCTACGTAATTCTCATAAAAGCGTTTTTATTAAAAGTGCTTCTATAGAAAAGAACATTTTTAAAGAAGCAATTTCAAACAAGGTCGCATACGTGCAGGGTATTCATTAGTGTATATTTTTATGGGACAATGACTTGTAGCCTTGTAGCTAACAATTGGCTCGACCAAATCCCCCAAGGATTTTGGGACATATCAAATCACATACTGGCAAGTTTTCACATGCGGCTCCGCTCTTTCCATAACACCTTTTCGATCGAAGTGGTGTCGGTCGGTCACGTGAACTTTTGTGCGTCACTTGTGGTATTTCATAAGCACTTTGATAATCCAAAACATAATGCAGTTGAACTAGAAAGCAATCTGTATCAGATCCTTGTATTCAAGTAATGTGAAATTCAGCTTAAACCAATCATGCTATCAAAATTCAACGACGCAAAGTAATGTGCACAAACATATTACCAATCGTGATTTCGTACGTATTCCGGCTGTATGGATTCAAAGAACGCGAATAATAATCCGAAATGTGTTATCTGCACAAACAAGAAGCTCTGCCGGGTTGAGACTCCATGATCAAGCATTGTAAAAAACAGGATTCGCTTCCAGCTGATCTGCGAATTTCTCGAGTATCTCCTTCACAAGATTTCCACATTTGTCTTCCGGAGCACTCTTGTCTGCATCTAGATCATCAAACACTGCATCATACAAAAGATCAACTGCCTCGGCCTCGTATGGTGGCAGACCCAACTCTTGCCCCTTTTTCACAAGAAAACTCCTAATTTTTTCTGCATTCCCCAATCCGTCCTTTCCGTGGTGATCTTCTTGCAATATCTTCTCAACGACATTGTTCAATTGCTTCTCATCAGCCAAAAGCTGCATAGTTTTCGGCAGTTTATTAGAGACTTCATTGAACTTTCACAACAAAAGACTAAAACCCATAATCGACACAACAAAAGATTAAAACCCTTGAACTTTCACAATAAAAAAAGGCCACTAGACAAGATATATTTGTTTCCATCAAGGAAAGTTATAAAATCCAGTTGACTCGACATGGATTAGCATAATCCGAAGTGTTTGAAATTCTCGGTCAACCTGGCTACCAATGTTAAGCAAGTTTCTTTTAGTTCTCCAGGTAACGAGGGGGTACCATATAAAATAATGGGGAAAAGGAGCTACCTTTCTTAGCTGAGAACCATTGACAATCTTGATGCTCTGGATAAAAACAACATGCTTTTTAGCCAAGGCCTCGGCTAGTTCCTGCAGGACAGGCTGGAGTAGCTGAGCAAATTGTGCTTGGCCCAGTTCTTCATCCCCATCAGCTTCGTGTTTCGTCAAGATATCACTTAGGGGAGGAAATTCTGTTAAATTGCACCTTGTAAATTATTGACTCTATAAAAATTGACACTCCGATTTGAGAGCGACGCAATATACGAAAGAACGGAAGATGAGAATCCACGTGATTGGTCCCATATGCATAGAACAAAGCATATGAGCAAAACATCATGCATATGCATGTATAATATGCCACAAATATAAGTTCACACGAATGGATGTTAGTTGTTGAAATCACTCAAAATACGTACAAACGAAAAATGTGCCAACGCTAAATTATTGTAAATGAGCCTTGTAGTAATTCTTGATTCACAATTTTGCAAAACGGAAAATATGAATACACTCAATGCTCAAAGTACTTTAGGCCAAATTTAAACAAGTTGAGGAAAACAAAAGGAGAAATCTGGGCACCAAACCAAAAAGTTTCAAACCCAACACCACCCCCCCCCCCCCCCCCCCCCCAACAACAACAACAATGTGACCAATTAGTATGATAAAGGTCTGCAGCATTAAAAGTCCGATAACAAGCTATACTAGCACTCGCTGGGATACAGCATGGACTAAGAATACAACCGTAAAGGAAGAGAAGGTGACCAATAACAAACATATACAAAACAAAGAGAAGGCGATGCTAGAAGATGAGTTATAAAGTCAATTCACAAATCTGTCTGCCTAATCAATTTTAATGTGGTCCAAAATTGATCCTTTTGCACTGCATAGTCCACATGGATATCCCGCAACAAACAAGCCACTCATGGACCGAAAGTAGCGCAGTCTTTTTCTTCTTTTTCTCCAAAATAAGTGCTTGAACCATACAAGAACTTTTTGGAACCAAATTCAAGAAAACTTTAATTTAATGTCTGTGCAGAATTCATAATTCAGTTGCACATAACGCACCTATATGTATGTTTGAATAATCATAGAATTAACAGCCAAAGCAACGAATTCGAGATAAACCTGAAACGGGAGGAACGCCCATCTCAACTCCCATGTGAACAAGCGCATTCTGGATCTCATTCTTGTTGATCTTTCCTTTATCTTCTACATCCAGATCAGTGAACAGATTCTCTGCTAACATTGCAAAATCATCCTCGTCCTCTAAAAATAATCGAATAGTGTATCCGTCCAAGACAGATACGACAAGTGGATCATCTGAACATTGAAGACAAAACTTCAGCATAAGCAATAAGCATGCATTATGTTCAGTTCACCATAATACTAAATACCAGCATAATCAACCAATCATTAAATCATTAAGCTGTCCAACGTCCTACATTATACAATCAAAATTCTCCGAAACCAACTTATGTTCTTGCCAAGCATTTTTGCATCCGCCAAATGACGCAATAAAACAATACGTTAAATTAAACAACCAAGTTACTTCTATCAATCCGTCATTTAAGTACTTCAAAGTTCAAACCTCTTATTCCATTTCGGGCCTGAAAACAACTGATTCTCATCTTGTCAGCACGAAAGAACAAGCAAGTCATATGTATCAGAGAGACCCCAAGACAATAAGGCTCTCTGCTTTACGAGGGTTGGGAGAACGTCTATTGTACCCTTACCCTTGTGCAAATAGGCTGTTTCCACGACTCGAACCTATGACCAATCGGTCACAAAGGAGCAACCCTTCTGTTGTGCCAAGGCTCGCCCTCATGTATCGGAGAGCCCGATGACGAAAATTTTCATGCATCCTCAGCAGCACTTAGGAAAGGGAAAACAAAACAAACAAGAAAAATGTATTTTCTTTGTGTTTTTCATGTCGATATTTCCCACATTTCTAGCCACCAAACAGGTTCAAAGTCAAACGACAACAATTCACACTAAAATTACACCTTAATTTCTTCAAACTCGTTTAAGTACTACATCAATTACCGATCCTCACTTTATTAGATCCTAAATCACACAAGACATCCTTAAAACCTCATCGGACCCTCGTTTTCGGATTATACCACAAACCATCACACAATGTATATAATTAACATTAACAATTGTATTTACGCAACTTAAATTTAGCACCTTTCAATTCATCGGCGATCGCCGTGATGTACTCGCCGATCACCTTCAGAGCCTGGGCGCGATCGAGCTCCGTGCTTCGGAAACCGTCGTCTTCTTGGAGGCTGATGCGTCTCAAAGCAGAGGACTTGAGGCTCTGTGGCAGCGAGAGGCCGAAGAGGGAGGAAGAGGCTTTGGAGACAGCGAGGTCGAGGACCTGAGCTCCCGTTAAGCTGGCGTCAGCATCCGGCAGAGTGAGGTCGACGGCTCTCAGGTGGCTCCCGTCGAGGACCGTTAAAGCCCCGTCCGACATTTTCGGTTTAGAGAGAGAGAGAGAGAGAGAGGTGACTTTGAAAGTTGGTATTTGGACCAGGAATTG